GTTGACCACAAGAACCTCACATGAAACAGGCATGAGTGTTCGCTCTACCAAGAGCAGGCGCACTATAACCACCCATGTTCTACAGCATAGGAAAGACGCGTACCGAATACTAAGAAAGGGTGGTGGTGGAGAGGGGCTTCCAATGAAGTGTCAGTTGAAGTTTTAAGGCAAATAAGGTTTGTACTTTAAAATCTATAAATGGGAAATAACTATATATATATGTGTGTATATATATATATCTCTAGCTGCTGGCTGCTGACCAGGGCCTTCCTTCATTCTGCACCGCCTCCTTGTGGTCAGCTCACGACATAGCGAGCGATCAAACTCCCAGTCTCTGGTTGAACTTCAGAGGGAACAATTTGCATACACACACACACACACACACACACACATATTAAAACATTAAGATATCCAATAGATCAACAGGAGAAAAAAATAAGCATAATAAGCATACAATTCACAATAAAATACAATATTAAAAAATGGGAAAATACTATAGAAAATAAAGGTTATTGTACATATTTATATTCTTAGGCAGAAAAAAGGCCTCTCTAAGGGTGAATATAATAGTAAAATATAAACTATCTGTATGGTAGAAAACACTGTACGCAAAAGACAAACAGTAAAGTTGGAAAACCATTTGCTATACACATGAAAGATGAGCAAGGACTAATAATCTTAAAATATCGCAAGAACATGTTAATGAGAAAGAATAAACAGGCACTTCAGTACGAAGTGGGAAAAGAACTTGAACTGAATATTCACAAAGACTAAATATAAGATATATATATACAGTGATGGCAAAAGTGGAGAAAAGCAAAATTCCTTCCAATCATGGTGAGTATATAAATTTGTACAGCTCAAGAAAAATGTGCTATTTCAAGTCAAAGGGGCTTAAAACAAGCTCCATTTTAGACAGCAAATTCACTTTGGGATTAAATTTTCTATCCAACAGAAATTATAATGTAATTATAGTTATATTATACTAGTTATAATAGACTAGTATATTATGCCAGATATACTAGTATGTACAAATTTGTCATGAGGCTGTTTATAATAGTGAATTTAAAAATCTATACAGATAATAATAAAGAATTGATTAAATAATGTGTAGAATAAAAAGAAATTAGCACAGAAAGTAATGCCAGGAGAGTATGAAATAATGATAGAGATTTATAATTTAGACATGATAAGAGTATATTCTATGCAAACGTAGAATACCCAGTTTATACACAGTATATGTATACACATAATATTCATTATGTAGTATTTTCTGTGAACCCTGAGAAAAAAGACACCTACTAAGAAGGGCTCCTGGTGGGGTGGCTAACTGGGCTCAAATTCTAAAAATCAGAGCCTAGCAGCCATTTCTGCCCAGGGGCCTCTCACACAAACCACACTTCAGGGAGAAGCCGGCACTCAACTGCCTGCCTGCACTGTGTTCCTGCCTGCTGAGCCAGCCCTTACACAGGAGTTCCTGGGATCCTATTTCCACCAACCAATAGAAGCTGTGCAGGTCTGACCAAACACAGTGGCTCTATTCTGACCAATCAGGATAGTACCTTTTGGACCAATCAAACATCAAGGATTTGGAGTCCTCATTTGCATGAGGACAGACCATAGAGCAGTGACGGCGAACCTATGACACACCTGTCAGAGGTGACACGTGAACTCATTTTTTTGGTTGATTTTTCTTTGTTAAATGGCATTTAAATATATAAAATAAATGTCAAAAATATAAGTCTTTGTTTTACTATGGTTGCAAATATCAAAAAATTTCTATATGTGACACGGCACCAAAGCTAAGTTAGGGTTTTTCAAAATGCTGACACGCCAGCTCAAAAGGTTTGCCATCACTGCCATAGAGGGACCTGGGGCAGGGACTTTTGTCCATAGAGGCCAGCTCCCCTCAGGCTCTAAGAGCGCACTTTCCCTTTCCATGGAAGACTGAAGCCTGCATGTCCCTGGCTGAGCTGAAACACGGAAGAGAGATCAGATGCAGAGCGGAGCAGCCCAGCACGGGCCAGAGCAGAGCACAGCAGACCATTCCAGAGCAGAGCTGTCCCGCTGGGAGTGGCCTGGCCACAGGGCCACCTGGCCCTGCCTCACAGTGGAGCTGGTTTGCACTGAATGAAGTTTCCTTCTTCACCAAACCTCAAAGTGGGGATTCCTG